GCTCCCTGTCACCAGTCAGCTCCACAATTGATAGGGCTTCCAGTTAGGACAGGAAGACGAAAAAAGATGCTGCACTAGGAGGAGACTCTATGGTGGGGGGAACCGGACTTCCAGTCAGCAGAGGAAAAAGGATGCCACACTAGTGTTGCAGAAAATGACAGGTTTTAGACTTCTCAGGATACAGGAAAAGTTTATTTGGCAGCCAGGTTCAGAAAGTTAGCAAAATGGCTAACATTGCAAATTCTGAACGATCAAAGCATTATCAAAGCACGCGTTCTTTATACATTCTCAAAAGCAGCGCAACACGGAAATATTTAACTCATTTCTTATTGGTTATTTTGGGGGGAAAGCCTTATAAGTAGATGAGGGTCTTACTTCTCCTTTTGTTACAGGTATGGACTACGTGTCATTAATGAACTTTATCTGAACCTTGTGGTTTGGACTTTTGACATAGGGACATTGGCTGGAACATCTTGTGGTTAGAGAATGATGACATTTCCTTTAAGCAAACTTCTAACTGTCCCTTTTATGCCATGTCTTCATTCTTATATTTTAATCCATATTTTAATCTACTTTATTATCACAGGCGGCTTTCAAAAATTAAACTTGGGCAGCCATTCAACTGAAATGGCATTGGGTCTCCTGCTGGAGCAGGGAGTGGCACTAGAAAACCCCCAAAGTCCCTTCCAACTCTTATTCTGTTATTCTGCTGTATTTTTTCACTTGAAATTCAAAACTTGATGTTGGAACTAAATTGTTTTAAGTCCATCAGAACTGGTCATCTCCAATGGTTTGCTTCACTTTACCAAGACCATTTTGCTTGCATACCCATTCGCCCGCAGTACTTGTTCACTGCCTTGGGCAGCCTTTTCATCCTGGGTCATGTTCTATGTGCTCCACTAGTTGGTAGTTGGCAATTTTTTGTTAGAGGAAAGTATAAAGAAGGACCTGCTTCCTGTTGCTTTGATTATTGTGGCATCAGAGCAACAACGGTGTCAGGCCTGCAGCCATATTCCTTTTGGAATGCCTGCCACACTTTGTATTGTTCTACTATGCCGTTTCTATTGTGGGAAAATGGGAGGGGGGATGGTACGGAGTTAAATGCAAAGTAGCCAAAACAAAAATCCTTTCTAGAAAACCAAGGTCATCCTTTGTCTCTGCACCTCTGCACCTGACTGGATCGGTGGAAGCTGCCAGCATGACAGTGGAAGATTGGACCATGGGATGGACTTATGGGTGTAGCGGCAAGATCTTGAATCTTCAACTGGGTGGGGAAAACCAGGAAGCTTTCAGATTCGGGTTTTCCCAGATGTGCCAATATGGCTCTCTTAATAAATTGGAACTTTGAGCAGTACTTTGCCTTGGACTCTGACTTAATTTTGGATGCGGTAACAAGGGGGGAGAAATGGGTTTGTGTGTCTAAAAAAGGGTTTAAAAAAAGAATATAACTTGGTTTTGTAAAAAGTTTTATTTTTTTCTTTCCATATACATTCAAAAATATACATTTTCATGAGTACTCTTAATATTTATCTGCTCTCTTCCAGCATTTATCACAATCTGTTTAAGCATATAAAAACCATAATCGGGATTGCTTTCTTTCCACCCTGTACATCCATCTTATTTTGCAACATCCCTACTTCTTCTTTCTTCCCAACCTCCCTTCTCTACTTCTTCTTTCCTCCTCTCCTTCCTCTTTTCTTCTTTCCTCCTCTCCTTCCTCTTTTCTTCTTCCCCTCCCTCTCCCCCACTCCTCCTCTCTTCTTCTCCTTCTTACCCTCTCTCCTACTCTTACTACCCCTTCCTTACTTCCTCTCCTTTACCCTTTCTTCTTTTCCCTCCTTTTTCTTCCTCTTTCCGTTGTTGCCGTTGGCTTATTTTCTTTTCACTCTGATGGATTTTTGGAGCGAAAGAATATAACTTGGAAAGGCATTCATGTGTGAAAACATCTGGGAAAGCGTAGGGATGAGTGAAGAGTGAACAGGCCCTAGAGAGAAAGGCTGGTCTCAGTAGACAGATGCATCCAGCCAGCCAGCCAATCAGTTTTGCCTTCCTGCGTGAATGGGAAGGGCAAGAAGCAGGGGAACAACCAATCAGGGCTTGCATGCCATCACCCAATCTCACCTGGAATTTCAGAAGTTGCCTTAAGAAACAGCTGGAAGCAGCGCAGAATACAAGTAGCTGCAGCATGAAATTGCCCTTTGGTTAAAAGGATTGTCGTTCATTGATTGAGTAATAATTTCCTTAAGGTTTCTGGATGGTTTATTGTTTCTCTTCCCCCACACCCACTCCCCCACCCACCAAAATTTTATAATGAGTGAGTTTGCTTGATGTTCCGATCTTGCAATAATACAGTCCCCTCCCTATACGTTATATATTAATTGGGGAAACCAAACTTTGTAGCAGTGAAATGATGGTTTAATGCTGCTTCCTTCAACCCGCTTAAGATGCCTACCTGAATCTATTCTCTTTTCAGCTCTCTTTTTCTTTTTCTTCTCCAAACTTATGCCAAGATATTGCAAAAATTCTTTATAATTCAGTGTATTTGTTCTTGAAATACAATACCGATTCCATAATCTTAAAAAAAAACAAAAAACACACAGGTTCATTAAATTTTGGTCAGTGTTTGGATGGGAACCCTCCAGAGCATCTTATCCTCTGAGCCAATATGCTGAACTGGAACATTATAAAGATATATCCTAGGAGCCAGTGGTGGGATTTTTTTATATTGGTTCTGTGGGTGTGGCTTTGTGGGTGTGGCATGGCTTGGTGGGTGTGGCTTGGTGGGCATGGCAGAGAAAGGATACTGTAAAATCTTCATTCCAACCCCACTCCAGGGGAAGGATACTGTAAAATTTCCATTCCCTCCTCACTCCAGGGGAAGGGTACTGTAAAATCTCCATTCCCTCCCCATTCCAGGGGAAGGAAATTGTAAAATCTCTCCATTCCATCCCCACTCCAGGGGAAGGAAATTGTAAAATCTCCATTCCTTCCCCACTCCAGGGGAAGGATACTGTAAAATCTCCATTCCCTCCTCACTCCAGGGGAAGGATACTGTAAAAACTCCATTCCCTCCCCACTCCAGGGGAAGGAAATTGTAAAATCTCAATTCCCTCCCCACTCCAGGGGAAGGATACTGCAAAATCCCCATTTCCATCCGATCAACTGAAACTCGAGAGGCAGAAAATAGATGGGGTGGGGCCAGTCAGAGGAGATATTTACGGGTGGGAATGGAGATTTTATAGTATCCTTCCCCTGGAGTGGGGAGGGAATGGGGATTTTACAATTTCCTTCCCCTGAAGTGGGGAGGGAATGGGGATTTTGCAGTATCCACGCCAAGCCCACCAAGCCAAGTCACACCCACCAAGCCACGTCCACAGAACCGGTAGTAAAATCCCCATTTCCTCCAGATCAGCTAGGACTCGGAAGGCAAAGAATAGATGGGGGTGGGGCCAGTCAGAGGAGGTATTTACCGGTTCTCCAAACTACTGAAAATTTCCGCTACCGGTTCTCCAGAACTGGTCAGAACCTGCTGGATACCACCTTTACTAGGAGCAGATCTGGACCAAGATGTGTCCACGAAGTACCAGGGCTTCAGCTTAAAGCAAGGGGATTTTGCATCACCTACTCACTTAGCTGATAGCTGATAGAATTGTATGTTAGACTGGGATGCTAAAAAATTCCCGGAAGACGTATTTCCATATAGCTGCCAACAAAATTATACGGACAGTGCCGGGGGGTCCCCAGGAGTCAAGCTTTACCTTACAAAATTAATAAACAAACATGTACCTGTTTAATCAACGCTAGACATTATGGAAGAAACTTTGAAAGGCTTTCTTGCAGCTCCCTTAAGAACCATTTTAAATTCAACCAAAGATGAATCCATTTGGCTACACACATTTTACAAATCTCTAGAGAATAAATGTCATCATTTTAAGTCAGGTTTAAATGCACCAGATAAAAATTTGTGATACTTTTTATGAACCCTCCTTTTGTTCTAGTAACATCCATTTAGATTTATCGCATGGAAGAATTGGATGCCAAGTACAAGATTTATTATCAAATAAAACCACATTTTGTTGTTTTTTTCATGGCTCTGCTTTAAAAAGCATGGCTTCTGTTCTGTAATTATGTGCACCAAATTATAAGACGGGTTTTTCCTTTGTTTTCATCTAATTTTGGAGAACATGCCAAGTGCCCATAAAAAAAGAGGAATATCAAGCAGCAAGCCCAGCTTGTAAATATGGGCTAAAATTTGTTTTGAGGTTGCTGGTAACAAGAGATATAAAATATTTAGAGCAAAGCAAAACAAATAAATAGTCTGTCCTAATTTCTCTCCCCTCTTCAGCTTAATGTTTCTGCTATTGCAGCTCATTACAGCTCTCTAAACTTTCCAAATTAAAGTTTTTCCAGGCTTCAGGAAAGATACAGACTCCTCATATTGAAGGGACCATATTTGCACCACAAAAGCCTGGGGCATTTAACAGCTACCAAGAGATGGCCCAAATTAACCCTTCGATGCCACGTAGCAGTTGGTTGCGTTTATACAGCCCAAATCAGGGAGCCAACCCACAACACCGCTACTGGTTAAAAAAAAAATACAATAGCCCAGCTATCAAAGAAACGCAACTATGCTTTTCATGATGAACTCTAGTAGGGAAGGGTTTTGCCATAGTCTTGTCTAGCCCATAATTCTGGGATTTTCTAATAATCTCCCATTTAATCTAATGGGCTGTGAGAGGCAAGAGAGCCTCAACCTAGACAGTGGTCATACAAAGAGATATCACAGCTCACAGAAGGAACGGGGAATGTTGTAAAGGGACCCTTCCCTATTTCTCTGGAAAGTAAAGGCACAGGAGAGGGGGGGGGAATGCTTTCAACTTGCAAGATTCTGTTATTGCAACCTTGCAATAAATGTAGTGTTGCAGAACTAATGAGACTTCCTACGAACCCAGGCTGCGACTCTCTCTCCTTTCTCCTGGAGTTATTCTTTTAGCCCACTACCAGTACTAATCTTGCTCAACTTTTTGAGATCTTTTCAAATTGGCTAGCAGTTGCTATATAGTTTGCATATCCTATATGCCATGATGGCGAACCTATGGCATACGTGCCAGAGATGGCACACGTGCCAGGGCTAGCTTGCAGAGCCCTCTCGGTGGGCATGTGCGCCATCACCAGTTGGTGTTCTGGTTTCTGGTACTGGTTTTCACAGGTGCCGGGGTGCTGGAAAATGGCCCCCAAAATGGCCAGAAAACAGTCTGTTTTTTGGGTTGTTTTCAGGCTACAAATGGCCCTGAAAATGCCCTGAAAACAACCTGAAAAACAGCCCCCAAAAAACAGCCAGAAACGCCCCCCCAAATGGCCAAAAACGGCCAAAAAACAGGCATGCACGTGCTGGCTAGCTGATCTTCAGATTTCCGGCACTCTGTTCATGCACACATTCATGCACATATTCCAGTTTGAGCACTCGGTACCGAAAAGGTTTGCCATCACTGCTATATGCCGCAGTGAGAGAGAACAGGCCTGGAGCTTTTGTGTGAGTCCCTTTCTTGCATTTTTCTCACCGTTTCCTGTGACTAAACATATCCAGCTCCAATAGTAAAACATATACCAGGATCATCCACAGAGAAATAAAAAAAAAAATCAAGATAGTGGACACAACCACATGCCTGAACCTCTTTTCTCCTTCTCTATCTGCAAGGCACTATGTGAAAAAAAGGGCAGGGTTTTACTCGCGTAACCGTGGTCATCAACTTAATTTTTTAAACCCCATTAGTGTGCCCTCTTGTAATCATCATCTGTAAACTTGATCTGATCCCTGAGTCCTACATAAAATGCAATGTTCAGAAGACACAATACTCAAGACTTGGCCAATGTACAATCCAATGAAGCTTCAAGACAGTTGGAAATTACCGTATTTTTCGGAGTATAAGACACACCGGAGTACAAGACGCACCAAGGTTTTGAAGAGGCAACATTTTTAAAAAGGTTTTTGCACTTTCCAAATCTCCCAAAAACGGGCCCGTTTTTTTTTCAAAAAAAGTGTATAAATAGTCTTTAGGAGGCTTGTAGAGTGCGGGGTGGGGGGCAAAAATGAGCAAAAAAATGGCCCGTTTTTTTCGCGAAAACAGGCCCATTTTTTGTAAAAAATAAAGGGCATTAGGAAGCTTATAGAGTGCTCCTGGGGGCTGGGGAGGGGCAAAATTGAGCAAACAACAGCCCATTTTTCGCTCACTTCTGCCCTCCCCAGCCCCCAGGAGCTTTCTGAAAGCCTCCTACAAGCTATGCACGGCCATTTTGGTGAAGGGGCAGGGTTTCAGGAGGCAAAAATATGCTGTATTCAGTGTATAAGATGCACCCAGATTTTCAGCCCCTTTTTTGAGGGAAAAAGGTGCGTCTTATACTCTGAAAAATACGGTATATTGTACTTCAGCTGATACAGCCTTGCGTTGCATTGTTCTCCATTTGAAACCACATCACCCTACCAGTTCATATTCAGACTTCTACAAACTACTATCCAGGTATTCCAAAAACCAGGTATCCCCTATCTTACATTTGTGCATTTTTTTAAAAAATTCCTAAGTGAAGAACTCCATCGTCATATTAAACCCAACTCTTCACTCTAGCTAATCAAGATAATCTGTGGCTTCTCTTAGCAAGGTTATCCATAAGAAAGTCCCTCCCATCCAAAATTTGCAAAAGTGTATTTAACCCTCCCCCCACTTTGAATTTAAGCATGAAAAGTATGCAGGCACACTTGATGACACTGTAGAACATTGTGTAATGGGTGACAGTTGATTTTTGAGGACCTCTATAAGATGTAGACTTTCTCTCAGATGATGATGAAGAGGATGGATTCTTACACACTAACACTAGTGTGTTCTTCAGCTATGGCTGATCAAGGAGAGTTATTTCAACCCCAAACCAGCTGTTCAAGGCTCTCTGAATTCGTGACCTGACAAATGCACGGACAACAAAAGCACGAGCAAAACCACAGCGAGAAAACCGTGACGTCATCAACGCGCCCACAACAACGCGCCCACAACAGTGCACCGACAGAAGCACGATTTAAGTTAAGGTAAGGGTTAGGTTCAGGGTTAGGTTCAGGGTTAGGTTCAGGGTTAGGTTCAGGGTTACGTTTAGGGTTAGGTTTAGGGTTAGGTTCAGGGTTAGGTTCAG